TGTTTAAAATACAAAATTACACACATTACAGACGAAATCAAATGAAAAATCTCAAGATAATCTCCATTAGACGTGCATGTGTTTAAATTTCCACGAGTCTTAAAAAAAACTAGAATTTTTATTCCACACAAGTCTTCCATTCTCGCGGCAGCAACTGACTCCTATATTAGATCGCGTTTGCCAGTTGAAGGCTCATTAGTTGCAGGGCCAGAGCCTGTTAAAGGACCATTAGCCCGCATCCATCTCCCGACAAGGGAAAGTTCGATCCGCGATCTTGCTTATCTCGGAACGGCACGGGCCGGCTATTTTTACCGGTAGCATATCCGGGCGTTATCTTTCGCGCCGGCACGTTACCGATAATGGCGGCAGTCATTCGCGGATGATACGGCGAGATAGCACAGGCGATAGGCGAGGATGGAAAATGCGGCGGCGGCGGTCGAAATCCGGCTAATGGTTTCACTGAATCAAATCGGAGCGGCCGGCGTTTAACGGGGCAAACAGACAGAAAATGGAGCGCGACCGCATATAAAGAGTCGATGATAACGAAATGATATATGGCGACCGCGCGCGCTCGCTCGCTCATTCGTTCGTGCGAATGTATATGTATGTGTATACAGGGAGGCGAGAGAGAAACGAGCCAAACCCGGCGTTGCCTTGCCCTGCCCGCGCCCTCCGACTCGGAGGCCCTTTCGCCTCGGCCCCGCGATACACCCTCTATGTAATGCAACTTCCATCCCCCTGGCTGGCGGTGGTGATTGATCGGCGTGGAGATACCGGACGATATTCACCGCGGGATTAAGTGAATGCGCGGCCACTTAATAATCCTTATATTATATGTATATCCTTCTATTTGAAGCCAAGTAAATGTGCGGGTTTGCGCTGCGTTTGTTGTCCGGGTGTCGAAAAATAGGACTGTCGAGAAACGTGATTTTGTTGATGATTTCGAGATTAGAAAAATGATGGAAACGCGCTCTTTTATAAATGGAATGGCACAAAATAAACTTGTGATTCGATCGTCATATTTCGATTAGCTCGGATTCTATAATTATGCGAGGAACTTTAATAAGGCTAATGCGACGATTGAAGCGGAAGTTACTGTCCCGTAAGAGAAGCAAGTTCATGGAGAAGCTTAAGAATATGTGTTTCCACTGTCGCGCTGCTTACCGAAGCGTTGCTTAATTATCCCTCTCGGGTAATGGCAGGATAATCTAATAGCGCCGTCTGATAATTATCGATTCCATTAGCTAAAGATGCTATAAAAATCGTTCCTTCTGACAAGATCTAATACTTGGTAACAAAACGAGCATCCTAATTGAATATAAAGTTGCACCTGTGATAGTAACATATGCGTATTATAATAGTACTGACATTAATATATTTTTAATATAAAAAATGCTACTTTTTTTTATTTATCTCGAAAACGTTTATAAAATTTTGCTGTAAATTTAGATTTGTATAAAAAAACTTGAGCTCTTTTTTTTTTTTTTTTTTTAAGAAACGCCGATTTAAAAAAATTCCGCGCTTAATAAAATAGTTAAGTCATTTGGTGAAAATACTAATTTTAAGGTATCAATGGGGATTATTCTATTTAGTTTTTTCATTTTTAATTTAATTAATTAAATTATATCTTTGTAAAATACCGATATTTAAATATATAGAAAGATATTATGTTTGGATTGCATTTAAGAAGGTATTCAATTGATAACAAATAAAAAATATCAAAATCTTTTATTTTACGGGAATCTCGGAAGATCCATCGAATCTTAACTTCCGACTTTGAAACTGTAAAATATTTGCTGTGAAATATTTGCGAGGATATTAAACATAGACATACGATATAACTTTCGGATTACATTTGCGAGGAGCTTTGGCATGCGCAAATAACGTATCTAGGAATCTTTTATTTCTCGGGAATCGGAATCGCCGGCTGCGAGCGATAGCGGAACGAACGGGAACGATTGCTTTAATATTCAACGTCCGTAATAGCCGGACATGAGGTTTAGGATTCGTTCAATTATTCAAATCACCGCCTCGTTAGGTCGGTCTAAATCGAGATCTCGGTTATGTCCGGAGGTTGCCTGGGAGGAAATCTAAATTTGCTCGTCGTGCAGTTAAATGTTGCATCGGCTACATACGAAAGCATAATTTATGCATGTACCAACCGCGCGAGGCCGTCGATACTTAATCGATGGCGAGCGCCACATTTAAAATCAATCGAAATAACATTAATGATTCGACGCGGTTATCACCGCATTCTTTATAAGAGAGAGAAAGAGCATCGTTCTTCTGGAAAGAAATTTTCAAGGACTTAAGGCAGAAGCCAAGATTTTCTTCCGTCGCACTGTTCGTTCGCGCTGGCAGCGGAAAGCTTTCCTAGAGACTTTAACGCTCGTTGCCGAGCTTTAAATAATGCATGAGCAGTCAGTCAAAAAATAAGCGGCCAAGAGGCCCGGAAGGGAGTTCTTTCCTTTCTCCTGTCGGTCGGCAGTCGGCACGCCGGAAATGAGAACGTAGACAAACAGCATTCATTTCTGATTCAGGCGAAACGTTCGCCGAGATACGAGGATATAGCTTGATGAACACGAGGGTGTAATCGTACGTAATGGGGGAGCTCTTGAAAAATTATTATTATATTTCCCAAGTGAAAACATTAGACCAGGGTGTTAGTTTAATATAATATCTAATAACATATAAAGGAAAAATTGTATTGCAATAATAATGATCGCAAACATCGAACATACGTTGAAGATGGTAGGGCGAGTCCGAAGGGTCTCGGTCATTTTCTCTCAGGATTGCCTATTAGTGCTTAATCGGTGCCTGATTAAAAATTACAGATTAAAGCTGCCCCGCGGGAGTTTTCGAGCTGCCCGGCACGGCTGACCAAACCGTAACTGAGTTTCGTACCAACACGCCCTCGGGCTGTGTTGACTAAATTCCTCGAGCAGATAATCACGAGGGTGGCGTATACTTATACATCCTTGAAAACAAGAGGAAGTAAGCCCAGCAATCTTCCGATCCCGGTTTATTTTGCCTGAAAATTCTGTTTTCATATACGTTCCCCCCGACAATGTTCAAGCTAACGTTATTATAAAATCTTTGTGCATTAATTATCAAATCTTATGGCATAAAACAAATATTCTGCCGGCCTAATCGATCAAAATGTTTTTTAAAAATATAAAATATTCCAGATTTTCTCTCTTTAAAATAAATCTATTAATTCTCAAGAATCTTGTTCGTATTAATTATACAAAATTTATAATATCACGAGTTTGATAACATTTGTGATGGCTGCTATTCTAAAATTTAAATTCTCTATAATGCTCGCGAAAATAAAAAGAATTTAAATAATTTAAAAAGATGGCACATTTCTCTCTCGTTCTCTCAAAAATTCACGTGACGTGCACGTCAAGAGATGCATCTGGCTGGATTACATCGTTCATTTTCTCACACGCGCGCCCGTACGATTAATTGCCAGCGAAACTCCAAACCATGGGTGCGCGTAGTCGGCGAGTATTTAGCATAAAATGTAAAATAAGCCGCGGCTCGAGCATAAATTGTATTCCCATTAGGAGAGTCGCTGGGCGCTAGTCGGGGGAAGAGGGAGGGGGGGTGCATTTGAATACGAGCGGATTAAAAATTAAATATTACCGCGGAAAGGGCCGGCGATTAGAGCGCGCACGGCAGGAATGAAAAACCGTCCGTATACGCGAAGGGCGGTGGAAAGGCATAGAGGAAGGGGAGACTCGAGCAACGAAAGTTTCGTAAAATAAAGCGGACGGCGTCATGGTTCTTCGCAAAAAAGGAAAAAAGAAAAAAGAAAAAGAAGAATTAAACGCTCTTCAATAATTCGCAATCGAGGCAACGAGGCGTTGTCCCGATTCGACGGCGAATTTTTTAGCAGCTCGTCCGCGCTTGAAAAACGACGAGATATTTTTCCCTGCTTCGTTATTTTCGCGGCTACCCGCCGCGCTTATTAAGGATAAATTGCAGATTATATTCTTTTAAGATAAACTAGCTTTACGGTTAGATAAATTCTTCAGGATTTTCCAATGCGAATCTGTATCGGGAAGCTCGCGGTTGATAAATCCGCGAATGCAAATATAATAATCGCAGCTGCAAATCACTATACAGTCTCTCGAGGCCGTGATACCGCCGCGGCTGCGGCGCCATAACCATTTTTCACAATTTCTGGCAGGCAGCGGCGGCAGCAATGCGAGCCCGGCACAAGTGGCCGTATCTCGCGAGCTCTCTTTCTTCTCCGGGACATTAAGGCCCGGAGCGGCGCGAGCGAAACGGTTAACTAAGACATCAGTCATAATACGCGAGACAACCGGATGCCGAGGCGGAGGGCTGAGGGGCGTAAAGGGTCCTCGTAACTTCTCGTTTGCCCAGCTTTTGTTTGCGATATCCCCTGACGTATCTCTCTCTCTCTCTCTGACGCCAGAAACTGCCTTTATGTCTCGACGAGATCCGTACATCAAAGTTTATAGGCTGAGAACGAAGCGAGGTGTCGTTAAACTTGCGGCGAGATGCGACTCGATTGCGCGAACAATCATGAAAGTGTAGCGCGTGTATAATGTGTGCTTTACTTTAAGATGTCTTTCATTCTTTGGAGGCGCGAGTAAAAAATATATTTTATCAAATAAGATGCAATTTAATTCGACCAGAAACATGAAAGTTGTCCTGTCATATCGACAATCTGTTAGCTATTTTTAATTAATGTAATTGCTGAATAAGAACAACACTTAAAAGGGACCACAATGTGGGTCGAAACGTAGTGTGTACTTATTTTCAATAAATCTTATTATTTGTTAAAATTTTATCACTGGCGATCAACAATTAATTGTGAATATATTTTATATTACATATTAAAGGATACGTCTAGGTAAAAATTTAAATATTATAGACAAAATGTGACATTTAATCAAGCTTTTGCTACGAAAACTTTCATTTTCTTTTATTTGACTCTAAATTAATAACGTTATTTTAATTTGATTACAGATCGAGCAGGGATACGACGAGATGAGTCAGCTAACTGTGAGTCTATTTTTTAATCACATATACTAAATGCGATTTGGCGGAATCAAATGCGTTCTAATTTTCTAGCGTTAGCGCTTATACGATAGGCCGTGTAAGATAGACAAATGCGTTCTGGTCAGTAGGGAAAGACCGGGCATGGGACGGGATGAGAGATTTACAAGTTTAGTTACCGGCGATCACACCCTAGGGACTCGGGCTTGATGGGACGCGTAGGCTATCGATATGAAGTTCGGAAAACTCTTCTGTACCAGAGTTGAGAGTGTCTGATAACTCTTTCCGGTCGAGCGATTGCTACATAGTTTGAATTTCGTGAAAGGAAATACGTTGTCAAGATAATTATGCCATTAAATAAATATCAGGAAACTCCGGAAACGCGTGAGACGTTCGGGTAAAGATATCTTCGACATCGTCGAAGGATTTATGCGAACAGGAACGGCCGGGGTTGTCCTGCCGACAACAAATCTCTCCTATTTCCTAACCGTTACGGATAGCCGGCCATTAGAGTGTCATCTTTTCCCACATTTATGAATGACCAGTCGCGGATAAGCCCTTGCGGGATATATCGCCGTAGAAACCGGCATACCGTGCGCCGGCGCATTTGTTTGAATTACTTTATATCCCACGATTTTTATTATCAGTATCTCCTTCGGCCATACGTGCCCGAACGCTACGAGCGTACAAAACCGCAGCGTCTTCTCCGCCGGAGAAATATACCGTACGTTCCCGTCTTATCTTTTTTTTTCGCGAAAGAACTCGCTCGTGCGTATATCGATTCCTGGGAAAATAAACTCACCCCTCAGCTTCGAGTAGCATTCAATTTCTACGAAACGAGATTAGGTGATCTTCTTCAAATACATATTTATCTCTTTTATCTCTCGAATTTACAAAGTCTGAGCAAATTATATTTTGCAGAAAATACGACGGAAACAAACATGGTTATAAAGAAATTTAGTCGCGAATAAATTAAAGAGTGCAGGAATGATTATCTAATTATTGTCACCTGATGATAATATTTTACAATAATATTTTTCGAATGTATGACTGATATGGTACAAGTAAAAATAATTTAACGTATCAATCGACCGTGCCAATTTTCCCGGCTGTGCTACAGCGTTTCAGTTTGTCCCGACGATAGTCCGGATCGTCCCGTTCGGCGGTCCAAAACCGCGTCGCATAATGGGAAAATTTGCGTAAACGACGGGGTCATTAAGCGCCCCTCTTGCGCGCGAATGTGCGTGGCGGTCGCCAATGTGGAGACGGGGCTATAACTCGCGGTAATACCAACCTAACCGTGTACCCATGATTATAACGCTGCCAATTAGTCAAGCCGGCTTAGGATGGCAACCGTGCCCCGGAACAAACGTCTATATATATATATATATATATATATGTAGACATACACACGTGTATATCTCCCTCTCTATCTCTCTTTTACCACGTAGAATCCAGCAAGATTCGACGCGGGTACATATAAGATCACGTACTTGAATAAATGTTCAGCTCTTTGTCGCAGTCTTTCATTTTAGTTTTCACAGAATTTAAATAGCGTTTCCGAAATTTCAGACTTTTAATTTTAAAGTCGTGAGCATTTTTTAGGAAAACTACGTTATTTTTTATTTAATTTCTTCACATTACTTACGCTTGAATATAATAAAATGATATTCTATTTTTTAAAAAGAATAATCGATTGCAAATATTATTTATCTATGACAGCAAAAGCGGCGAATATATATTTCGACGTTCCCATGTGTTTGGTTTGTAATAAAAGGATTAAGATCCAAGCTTTACAGTGAGTAACGCGTTATTCGCGTCGGTGATTATATCGGCGTTTCGCGATACGTCGTCCTGTGTTTCATGCGGTGTGGAAGCAGCGGCAGGGTAAGTTTAGTAATTATTTAGCTAAATTGCGGAACACTTGGCGCCGCGCGGCGCGGCATGTGTTTGTAACCGACGAAAAATCTCTGAATTAATGCTCCACCATTAATTACGTTTATGAGTCCAAATTGTCTCGGTAGCACGGAATTTATGCAAATGTAGTTTGCGAATTCGACGATCACGTCGCCAGAAAGCGCCGCGTGCGACGGTCTGGCCTAAAGCGTGTCTGTAATTTGCCGCATAACGCGATACGTACGTGATGCACAGTTGCAAACGTCCTAAGTATAACGATATATCGTATAGAGTTTCCTCGATTCGAGAAGCCTCGTAAAAGCTCCCTTAATTCGGAAGATAATTCTGTGCGCGCGATGCAGAATTTTAAAATAGGTCACACGCGTACTAGAGAGGATTAATACAAAATAACGTTAAATTAGATTAAATTACATTACATTTTTTTCATATTATTTATAATTAACATTATAAATTTAATTAACATTTAGCTGCTTTTAGTTGAATAATATTCAACTAAATATATATTTAATTGTTGATGTTTTAATTGTTCGAAAATAATGAACTTTTTGCTCCAATTTCTATCCGACGACCAACAATCCTCAGCTGACCGGCGATTTCGCGTGATAAATTAAATTTTACAGAAACACGCGCGATTGTAGTACGCTCTTGTTTTACGTTGCTATCCGAAGGCAGCGTTGCGATAAAAATTATTTAGTATTCACTCGCGCCTGACCTCTCTCGTCGAGCGGTAATCAGATTTCCAATCCGATCAATCCGACAGGTCCGACTGGCCGGTTAATTTTACTTTGTACCGACCACTACCGACTTTTTTGTGCTTAGCCGGTGAGCACACGGCCGCGCTGACAGGGCACTGACGTATTCCGCACGACGGAGCGGAACGACGAAGCGCCAGGAGTAACGTGCTCTTAACGAATCCGCAAATTGAAAATCTCCGGTCCGCGACCGCATCGCTGATTTCGAAGAGGCGTTTGTTTTCGCGTTCGTCCTTTCCGCCGCCCCGATTCCAGAACACTGGACCCCCCTAGCTGGCCCGAGGCTGCACTCTCTCTCTCTCTCGTTCACCCTTTCTTCTTTCCCGCTCTCTGACGCTCTCCATAGGTATCAGCTGTTTAATTAATCTCGCGCAAATGAAATGGAGGAATATAATATGCGATCTCTGCGCCGCGCCGGCTTTAAAAAGCATCCGGCCGTATACGTTACGAGGCACGTTACATCGCGCATTACATACCGCTCGTTTTTCGAAATATACTCGCGTGCATGTTGCTTCGCCAACAATTTCTTGCTGCGAGTTTCAGAAGAGCGGAAAAGTGCAAGAATTAATTTTGTTTGAACTCAGAAATAATACGTGGCATACGTACAGTATATAGTACAGTTTTGAAATGTCAATATTTCGTCGGTACACTTGAGACGATGGAAATGAAAATTTAATTCAACTGCGATCTCTCGATTCTAGACATTAAATTAAATTAACGCACAGGATGCAAGTTATATGTGTAAAATATATAATACGTCTATTACATTTGTATCGAAAATGTGCTTTAATCTCGTTAATCGAAAATTTGTCCACCTTTCGATTTGCGTTCATTAATCGAGTATGGGCGACGGGGCAACAACAGGGGAGGCTTTCACGGCTGTCCATCACGGCCTGGCCGCTATTAGGGTAGCTCTTGTAAAGTATGGATTTGGACCAATCGTATAGATGCCGCGGGATAGGCACCTATCGCGTGTTTCGAGGACGCCGCGGGCCACGCTCGATACCAGCTTTATTAGTTTGCGGTAATAAATCAGGAGACGGATCAATTTTGCAGTGGTTCCCTCCCCCTCCCCTTTCCTCCTCGTGATTTCCGTTCTGGGGACATCAGATACAAAATTTGCAGCTCGCTCGTGCAAACTGCGCCCACGTTCCTTCCGGTTTTCAGCTCTGTTATCGAATATTCACACGGCCGATATTTGATAAAAATATTCAACGATATCAAGCTTCGAGTTCACGTTCCATTTGAGTTTTTCAATATCGAGAATAAGAGAGAATAAAAATCATTCTTTGTTCGATCGTTGCGTTTGCCTTCTCTTCTTCAAGTGACGCTCTCGCGTTTTAGGCGTTTCAATATCCGCATTCGTTCCGATAGAGTTTTAAGATTATTATTAAATAAAAAAAAGATTATTAATAAGAGAATTAATTCCCTCACTTTCGCGCCGATATAGCAAAACTATAGCGCAAACGTAACGTATGACCGTATATATCGTTGTATCGCTTTTTACGTTTACTTTTCATCCCAACTATAACAGAGCGCGGCAATTGAATTTTGCCAAAGCCAGACATCGCTCGCGCTCTCGTCGCTCGCGAGCAACGAGAGCGCGAGCGACATCCGTCAACAGTAAAATTCAAAGCGGCAACTTTTGAAAAAATATCGTCGCCCCCGGACGCGCTCGAAAGCGCGCGTGGCACAAACGAGAAGGTAAGCTCGCCGTTTGACGTTTTTCGACGGGTTAGTACGACGACACACGTCCGGCACAGAAATTAGCGTTACCGTGCGCGGCGCCGTTGGTTAACGATAGGGAGGGATAGATGAAAAGGGGGTAGGGAAGGGTTGGAGAAGGCGCGCGGGGAGGGAAAGCTGCGTTCGCGAGGGTGACCAGGCGGATGGCTTCCATATACATACATCGACAGGCGCACATCGATTATATGCTCGATTAATTCGCGACCATGCCGAACCCCTTGGTCCGTCCGTCCATTCGCTCGTACACACACACACACACACGCGCACACATGCGGGATCGATCGCGCGTGTGGACATACGCACTTAGCGTTTCAAACTTTGCGCCTATTGCGCCGACGAGACTTCAAAAGCAGAGTCCTAAGAACGCAATTTCAATTACGAAATCCATACTCGGATGTTCTCCAAATTTAAGCGCGATATCGTTCGTTCTAATTTCACAATTATATTCATTATATATGATTCTTACTCGTTTCTTGTATTCGTTAATACAGTATTTTATTATAATGTGAATATTAATTTATAAAAAGAATTGAAATTTTTATTCCAGCTTTCTTTCTTTCATTTTAATACAAAGTCGAGATCTCGACATGT